CTTTTCCGATAAACATATATAATTTTTCTTTTCTTTTTTAAAATTTTATAATTAACCCATTTTATTTAGTTTTATTTGCTTTTAATATCGTATTTTAGGGAATAATCATAACTGAACATTATTATTCATCTACTAGTCGTTTTAAATTCTCATCTATGCATATTATTTAACGAAGAATCATACTCTACAATATACACCCTACTTTGGCTCCATACATTAATTTTCTTTATCGCTGTCCTTACATTATTTTAGTTTGTGTATCGTCATGTTCTTTTTTGGTTTATTCAAAATAAAAGTATATTTATTAATGTAGGGAGAGATTGAAGTAACAATGTATTATTTTGTTCCTCACACAATTTTTTTATGTATTTCATTCCCACTATTAAATTAAAATATTGTAAGGTTTTATAATTTATTGAGTTGACAAAATATAAAATACAAAAAGTAAGTTATTATAAATCACTCCATTAATTAAAATACCCTCGTAATAGTTATTAATTAATTAATTAATTAATATTTAAATTGAAAAGTTCTTAAAGCATGAAATGTTGCATGTTATTTATATAATCCAAAATATAAAGTGTTAGTATTTTTTTAGAGGTAGAAGAAGTGATAAATAGCATCTTAAAACTAACAAAAACATATTTTGATATTGGTTTTGCTTTTATATATATAATGTTATAATGTTATTATTATATTAGAATACTTGTATCAATTGTACAATTTTGGATATTGAGCTAAACTTTTGTTACAATTGTTAATTAGATAAACGAAATTATTTGATAAATATTGTAGTTACAGTAAAAAGTTAAAAAAATTGACTTTTGATAACTATTAGTATTTTAAAAAAAAAACATAGCGATTACAGATCTAGCAAGACGTTCATAGAGGGTTAAAAGATCGTTAAATAAAAATATAACTTATATTTGTACATGACTTAATAGAAAAAATAAAACAATATCTATTAGAATGTTTAAAATGTATAGAGGGGATAATTTTTTATTTATTTATATAAAATGAGTAAACTTGGGTAAATGTTTTATTGCAAACCTGTCGAATGCACAAATTTAAAAAAAAAAAAAGTGGTTTCAATTTCAAATTCAATCTATACTATATTATTAAGTATTTGAGAAAAACTCTTAAAACCATTTTTTATACATTAAGTACTGTTTATTGATGTATATTACTTGAAATTAAAGATTATAAAGTAATTTTACATATGTAAAACTTATTAGAGGTGCATATTTGAATTCAAGTAGCTAAATGCAGATAAACATAATCAAATACTAGATCAGTATCTCATTTTAAATATAAAAAATCTAAAATATATTTAGGATAATCATTGAATTCTAACAAAATACTAATTATTATCTTTATAAAAACATATATTATTAATCCAAAAATAAATGTCTTCATTATTAAATTTAAATCAAATTATAATAAATAATTGAATTAAAGAAATTACACAAAAAAACAAGAACTTTTAAATTTTTAATTTGACACTAAAATTGGTACATTTTTTTTCTAAACTTTATGATATACTTTCAAATTTATATTTTATTCAAAAAATAAAAACATTATTTTTTTCAGTATCACGTAAAATCGTATTATAACATCGATATTGACAGAATAAAAAGAAACATTAAAATCGAGATATATCTTGCTGTTTTGTGCAAGTACCTTTCTAGTATTCTATAATGAATGAATTATCTATGCAAATTTTTTGGATAATTATATTAATATATTGGTTTCATCATATTTAATTTAGAGTGAGTTACATTTTTGATCATTCGTTAATTTATGGTCGTCTTTTGGTTTTCGTCTCTACAATTCGTAAACTATCCTGATGGTCCATTTTTCGTGTTTTTCAGCCCAATATAGTCCCTCCTAACACAGATAGCTTTGTTAAATCAGTCATGTGCTCCTCATGTGAGTGTCATTTTGGTCTTTTTACCTATTTTCTTCAACCTCACGTCCATCTCCAAGAACATTGATGTCTATGTTTGGATCTCAAGAATCAATTAACAAAATCTCAAGAAATCAAAATTTAACCTAAGCATATCTAAATTTTGAAATCAAAAAGGAACTTAAGAAAATAAATTTGTATTCCATATATGAAATCAAAACCCTAATCAAACTTTAAACCCATTCATGAGAAAAAAAAAAGAAACTTATACAAATCTATACATGAAGTCAAAACCCTAAGTAAATTTCTAAAATCAAAATAAATGCCTCCCTGGATCTCTCTCTCTCTCTCTCCCTCTCTCTCTCTCTGTGAACACCAAACACGTATGTTAATAGGAGCTCAAACAACTACCAAACAAATCCGTTAGCCGGAGCTCAAGCAAACACCAAACACATTTGTTAATCGGAGCTCAAGCAAACACCAAGCATATTTGTTAATATGGATAAACTAACCTAAATGAATATGGTGGGGTTCCTCATGAAGAACATAACCTCAATCAACTTCATCTTTGCATTTGGGTTTTCACATGCTTCATTTTTTGAAAAAAGGGGACGAATCTTGTAAACTTCGAAAAGGAAAGGGGAGCTGATTTGCATCTGCATCATCGAGAAGGGAGGGGAGTATCACTTGAATTTTCGTGATTTTGGGATATTTAGAAATTCAAGACTTTTAGTTTATAAATATTTGATGGTTTCGACATCTAGTTTAAAATCCTATTTATTTTATAAATATTTTGGTTTCGGTATTTAGCTTAAAATCCTATTTATTATATAAATCCATTTTCCCAAAGTGGTAGTGTGATCCGAGTGATGAGGGAACCGAATAATGATTTTGGTAACCATCAAATTGGGTAGGGTGCCTTTTTGGGCGGCCTAACCCGCATCAAAGGGCGCGTAAGCTACTTTCTTTAATACTCGTTCACGGGTTGGGAATAGGAAACAAACATAGGGCAAAGCGCCTTGTGGGTAAGGCGCCTTGTTAGGCTGCATATGCCTCACCAGATAAAGTCGCCCAGACGAGAGTGTGGCATGGTGTGAGGGGGTCCGAGTTCTGTCGACGACACGACTTGATGAGAGCATGGAACCTAGCCCGCTTAAAACTCAATTTTTTTCCTTTTTGGCTAGAAAATCTCATCCTCCTCTTCTCTTCACCCTCTTTCTTCATTTACTCCTTGATTTCCATTTTCCTTTCATTAAATTCGATGGAATAATCAACCAACGAAAGAATCAAAAGGATTCCATGTATTTAATTCTCATCTAGGTCAAAGGGTCAAAGGGAAAGCCAACCATCAAGCCCTCTCCTTCTATATTTAGAATTTCTTGGGTTTTCTAGGTTTCCATTAAAAATCTAATACGTGAATTCACATTTCATTAAGCTTTATTATGACTAATCTTGATAATTTAGATATTTATGGAACCTTACTTTGAATATTTAGTGTAACACCGCTAAGATAGAAGTAAACTTAAACCATAAAGTCGATACAGAATAAATACTCAAATATAAAAATTACCCTAAAGGGGAAATTGTAAAACATTTACAATACAAAG